TTTCTTTTCTTTCTCTGCCCTCCTCCTCGAGAGTGAGGATCACATGATCCTGACTTATTTGATTACTGTTGCATATTTTTAACCTATACCAGCTCAAATGTGGCTATGAGCTTTGTTAGTTAGAATTACATTTTACAGACAAAATCAAAAGCCTCACTCATTTGTCCACTCAATACTCAATGTGTTTCCTGTGCTTATATCCAGACAAGTGTGTAGAAACATGGGGAATTAAAAAAAAAAATTGTCACTTGTGTTTTTCCTATTAAACGTTTAACCAAAGTCCACGTTGGTTCCAGCATTTATTTGGCGATAGTTCATAGCATGTGTTTGAAGAAAGGAGTATTTGAAACAGTATTGTGTAGTAAAAGTGGGTCATGCTAAACTATGATGTTGGAGGAAAGGTTTTTGTGTGGAAGGTTCAGTGAAAAAAGTGTACACCATGATCCTACTCGTATGTGTGTACAGATACAAGTATATATGAAGTATCTGTCTACTTAGAATAGAAAAAATGTCTGTAGGGAAGTTCACCAAAAAGTAAACAGTAGTTATCTCTGAGTTATGGAGTCATCATTGACTTTTATTTATTCTCTTTGTCTGATCAGTACTGTCTGCTTTTTCTAAAAGTCACATGTTAGGGTAATAGAAATTAGAACAACAATGAAACATCACCTCACACCTGTGAGAATGACTATTGTTCAAAAGACAAGAATCAGTGAGTGTTTGAGAGGCTATCAAGAGAAGAGTCCACTGTTTGTGAGAATGAAAATTGGTGCAGCCATTGTATGAAACAGTATGGAGATGCCACAAAAAGTTAAAAGAAGAACTTCCATAAAACCCAGTTATTCCAATTTTGGGTATTTATTCAAAAAATACAAAATGCTAAATCAAAGAGATACACTCACCCCTATGTTTTTTTGCAGTACTGTTTACAACAGCCAAGAACTGGAAGCAACATAAGTACCATTGATTTATAAATGGATAAAAAAAGATGTGGTACTCAATGGAATACTATATACTATATACTATATACTCAATGGAATACTATATAGCCCTAAAAAGATAAAATCCTAACAGAGGGAATTATGCTTAGTGAAATAAGCATGACAAATAATGACAAACACCTACAATTTTATTCATACGTGGTCTGTAAAGAAAACATACATTTATTTTAGTTTATTTTGAGGTTACAAATACATTTTAGCAAGTAGGCAAAGTGGTATGATTCCATGAATAATAAGAGGCTGTGTACTCTTCCCGTATGTTTCCTCTCTCATTAAGTGGCACCACATTCAAACCAGTTACTCAGGATAGATATCTCACATCAGCCTTTTCCTGTCTTTTACCCTCCATGTTCAATCAGTCATTGGCTTGTACCTCCTAAATATATGTCAGATTCTGAGTAATCTTTTTGTACCTAATTTTCTTTCTTCATTCTACTCATTACATATCATCTTCAGAGTAGAAGTCCAAATGTCTTAACATAATTTACAGAGCCTTTCAGCCTCACCTCATCTTCTGTCATTCCTCTCCCATCACTGGAAGTTCTTAGAACTGCTTTTCAATTCATGGACTGTATATACATATATATGTATATTTAAAGATTTATTTATGCATACAAGAGCTGGGGTACAGGCCAGAGTTGTGGGGGGTGAGAGGATTCACCAGAGACAGAGTGGGGAACAGAATAGGCAGACTGACTGAATACACTGCTGAGGGGAGCAGTGGGCAAGACAGGAGAGGTCTGCTTCGCCATATGGTTTCTCCCTGGCCAGCTGGGGATTGAACTCGTGCTGCAGAGGCTGCAGATTGCTTCATAGTGCAGTGCTTAACCCCTTGCGCCACCAGGGAGGCCTGTGTATCTTTTTTTCTTTGAACCTCTGTGTTTCTACAAGGAACATTTTTTCCCCTTTCTCTTTACCTGGCTTTTTCTTCTGATTTATTTTCAAGTTTGAATATTAATGCCATTGTTTTTAGAGGGGGGTGGCTTTCTCTGAACATTGCTCTCTTGTACCTTTCTCTCTCTCTGACATACATATCACTCCCAACCTTAAAATTCCATAGTTTATTTTAATTTAATTGATTATTTTATTGCTGTATATTATAAATTCAGTAAGGACAAGTCCCATTCTTAGTGGCTATCCTGTGGCAAACACTCTGTATATTTTAAATGACTTGTTTTTCTGTGATACTATATATAATAATTAGTTGTTAATTATTACAGGGCCTTTGGAGCACTGTAATGCTACTGATGGAAAATTTTTTAAAAGGAAAAACAACTTTTCAATAGCCTGCCTATTGTTTTATATATATTTGCTTAAACGTTCATTCAATAACGATTAACATTTGTTTTTCATCTATTAACCTGTTTTGTGAATAGACAGGCATTTCACTTACTCCATTGGACTGGTCAGACATTTACTTCTCAAATTCCACCTGTAAGCATTGAGTTGACAAAACTGGCAGAGGAAATAGAATAATGAAAAGTGAATTTATTTAGCAGCCTCTTGGGAAACTCTAACCCAGTTTTTCTAAGTGGGGAAGCAGATCTATTAGATAAATTGATCTTTTGTCATTTTTATTCTATTGGATGAATATTTGAAAGGCAAACTGTATCTAGTTTAGAATTAAGTATAGGATCCTGATTTGGTTTTTATATAGAATTTCATCTTGTATATTTTCTATCATTTACAACAAATAATTGAATTAGTATTTTATGGTCTAATTAGGGAGAAGGCTTTCTCTAAATTCTCAGCTAAGTGTATCTTGGCTCCAAAGCATGTTGAATATGTAATGTCATACTAGAATAATAAAGGGCCTTTAGTGCTGTTAACCTTAAAATGAAAAGCCCTTCAGTGTGTACAGAATGTAATTGACATTTAATAATATCACTATGTTGTGAAAATGGTGACAAGGAGGGAATAACTTTAACAAACCAGCAGGCAGTTTCCACCTCTTATTTCTTAAGTAGAATTGTTGCTACCTCATTAATTTATGGATTAAGAAAGCCTTGAAATGGCTATCTTAATGTTTGATTTCTTTTTATAGGTTGAAAAACTCAGGCATGTACAGTTATAATCACTTGCATTTTAAAACCTTTGTTTTAACAAGCCATCATACATAGGCCAAATCCAGCCTCTTGCCTGTTTCTGTATGACCTGTGAATTAAAAATAGTTTTGTAATTTTTAAAAGGTTGGTAAAAAAAATAAAAAAAGAATAATATTTCATGACAGGTGAAAATTATATGAAATTCTAATTTCAGTTTCCACAAGTAAGATTTTATTTGTGCACAGCCACACTCATGTATTTATTGTCTATAGCTGTTTTTGTGCTATAGCTGCAGAGTTGAGTAGTGGTAACAGAAACTGCATGGCTCACCAAACCATACTTACTGTCCTGTGTTTTACAAATGATGTTTGCCAGCCTCTGATCTGTACTATTGAGTTTGCATGATTTAGTACCTTAAACCAACTTCCCCAGTTTAATGATCTAATAAGTCATGTTGAAAAAGTCTTTAGACTTTTATGCAAGTTAAGGAACCAAAGCATGTGTTGCATGACGTTTAAGGTTTGGGAGACCAGAAGTCTAAAATCAAGGTGTCAGAAGGCCATCCTCCCTCTGAAATGCTGGGTAGAATCCTCCTTCCCTTGTCTAAGCTTTTGGTAGTGGCAACAATGTTTGGTGTTCCTTAGTTGGCCGTTGCACCCTTCTAATCTCTGCCTGTGGCACCTCACAGTATCCTCTCATGTTCTAGCTCTGTTTCTTCGCGTCTTCTTAAGGACAGTTTTAATTTTTATTGGATTAAGGGCCAACTTATTCTAGTTTGACAGCATCTTAATTTAAATAGTCACATCTGCAATGATGCTATTTCTAAAAAAGGTCACATATGGAATTTTGAGAGAACACAGTTCAACCCAGCTACAGAGCTCATGAGCCAGCTCTTCTTTAGAGTTCCTTTCCATTTAAACCCAGAAACACTGAATGAAAAGTGAAGACTGCACCAAGAATGTCCAGGGCTATTGAAGTGCCAATCTGGCACAGAGCAGGCTCTCTATGGATCCAGGCAGATGGGTAAAGGAGAGTTCTGGAGCCCTGTGGCTTTTTCAGGCTTTTAACGATGTTTACACCATTTGTAGTGAGGCAACCAGATGCAGGGCATGCAGGTGGCCTGGGGGCCAGGAGGCCAGGAGGCTGGTAGGCCTCCTAGGCCTTGGTGGATCTTTACTTTGTCTAGGCTCTCTGACATTCTCTTGTGGTCTCTTCGCTGGTCTCTACTGCACTCCTGCCACATGACTGCCAGCCTCTGCTGCCACCCTTATATGCTCAGCCTCCATGCTCAGGTGCACCCACTTACGCACACCCACACCAAGCTCCAAGTGCCACCACAGGCACGCGTATAAGACCACAGGTGTAGGTCATTGATGCTAATTACAAGCGGGTGGAAAAAACCTGATAACTTCCACTTTACAGTTATGTTTCTTCTCTTTTAGAAGAAATCTATTTAAAGTAGACTTATTTTACCTGGGAAGGTTAATTTACTGTTCTCAGCTTCTGTTTTTTTACTGTTTCCATTTGGCCCTTTTTCATATTACATTTGAGACTTTTTTTTTTTAATTCTGAACATTTTTCCCTAGAACGTTCTGTATTTTTCAGGAGCATTTTCTCAACTGTTATTATAACCTCTGAGAACATTGGTTTATCTTCATTCTTGTGAATTTGTGATAATTGATTAGAAGCCAGTTTTGATGTTTGTGGTTGAGTTTTGGTAGTTTCCTCTTTAGAATCTTTAGTATCCATCCCTATAGGAATTAGTTATAAGTAAGGTTCAATAAATTATAACAGTGATTTTTATTTTTTCTGTGATTATCATTGTTCAAATTGCCTGTTTTTGAGAAATGTGGGCAGTTCTTCAATTCTAGACCCAGAGGCTTCTGTTTTCCTGTAAAACACTAGAGTAACTGGTATAATAGTGATACCCCATTTCCTTCTTTTTATTTTACAGGGTGCCCGGGAAACATTTGAGAACTACTACCGAAAACAGAGGCGAAAACAGGCTCGTTTGGTGCTCCAACCGCCATCTAATATGGTAGGATTACACCTTCACCTTCTTTTCTGGTATCTTTTAATTATCTGGCATATGTGCTTTTTTGTGGTTTTAACTGTAATTCTGAGACCAGTTTTGTAGAACATACTTTGCAGTAAGAAAATGTCAGTTGACCTCTATTGCTTGCTTTGTGTCATGCACGGTTTTAAGTATTATATATGTATTGGTTCATTTCATCTTTACTGTAACCCTAGAAAATTATTATTATATTTACTTTAATGTCATTTACTGAACTTTAAGAAATTAACAATTTTAACTTTGTGTTAATGTAACAAAACAAAAATGATGCCTTTTTCCTCTTTGCTTTGTTGCAGCATGAAACTTTAGATGGCTACAGGAGATATTTTAATCAAATTGTAGGGTAGGTATATACATGTGTATACGTATTTGAATTTATATGTTTACAATACATAGATTTATGAGACTTGAAAAAATAAATAAATAAAATAAAAAATAAAAAATAAATCTAGTTATTTTATTTTATAAATAAAATCTAGTTATTTTATTTTTTATAAAAAATAAATCTAGTTTTCTATGGGAAATTCTTTTTCTCTTTAAAAATACTACAAGATTTAATTTTGATTCTTATTATGATTTCAAAGGAATGCTCTATTGGTTTCAACATTATATTGTTGGAGAATACTTTTTGTGGCTAAAGGGAGAGAAACACTGAGCTGTAATCTTATTATATTTGATGTTTTATTTCTGTGTTCTGGGTAAAAAAGAACCAAATAATCAGCAAAAGTTGGCAAACTTTTTCTACAAGAGCCAAATAGTAAAGTATTTTAGGCTTAGCAGCCATAGGGTTTCTGACACAACCATTCAGCTCTGTTGTAGCACAAAAGCAGCTAAAGACAATATGTAAATGAATGAACATGGCTGTGTTCCAGTGAACCAATATTTATAAAAATAGGCAGAGGGCCAGTGTAATGGCAGGAGGACACGGAGCAGGATCTCTCTGATCCCAGCAGATGGGGTAAGGAGAAGTCCTGGAGCCCTCGGTGACTTTTGCAGCCTTTTATTAGGATTTACCAGGTACACAGCAGGCAGGGGTGCTGGGGGGCCGGGAGGCTGGCAGGCCTCCCACACCCCTGCAAGTTTTCACTCTATCTGGCCTCTCTTGGCCTTTTCTCTGCTCCTTTGGCTCTTTTGTTCTCTTCTGCACTCTGCTCTACTGGCGTCCCTGTGACGCCGCCCTTATAAGCCCAGTCTTAGCCCAGGTGTACCCACTTACATATGCCCACACCCTACTCCAGGTGCCCTCCATCAGGCATGCATTCAGGACTGCGAGGATCCATCATCAATCCTAATGGCGGGAGGGCAGAAAAGCCTGATGCTTTTTATTTACCCTACAGCCAGATTTGTCCCATCAGCTACATATAGTTAGCCACCCTCATCTAGAGTAGATTTACTAACTGGTCTGGAATTGTTCCCAAATCTCCCAAATATAGGCAGCTTTTTCTAACTGTAAAATAACAACTTTGTAGTTAAAAGAAAGGAAAATTAGTTGGATTGCTCCATAAAATTTCTTTCGTTTTCTTCAGATTTAGATCGTCTTAATATAAATGATAATTTACATTGAAGTATATTATAAAACTCCCTATTTAAACAATTATTTAAATTAGTATGGCTATTTAGGTAACATTTTAAATGCATAATAGTTAAGCCAAGGCAGAACAATAAAAAATAGGTGCATTTTTAAAAAACTTTTGTGAGATTGCTCTTCAATATTTTGATGAGAAAGTCTGTATAAGGACAATTATTTTGCTGTTTTCAGTGTTGGTGTCTTCAAAATGTTTTTAAAATCTATTAGTTTTTAAAAAGTACTAATGGCTTGGTGTGTTTAATATAGTGATTTTAGCTTTGTTTACCCATAAACATTTTCCTCCCCTTTAAATTAGTGGATAAAAGAGTAAACATTTAATAGAGACGAAACTCCAGTTTCTGTAGAAGTGCTTAAGACGATATTCTCGTTAGGGTGTAATTCTAAATCCAAGAAATCTGATTTTGTTAATGACACCATACACCTTATCTTTAAGAAAAAAATGACCATTAACTTCAAATTTGATGGCAGCTCATAAAGTTTGTCAAACCCTGGAGATAGTTCAAACTGTAATATCTGACAGCTTTGCTTTCTTTTTTCCTCAATCTTAGCTTTTTTGTGGTTGAAGATCACATTTTACATACAACCCAGGGCTTAGTAAATAGAGCCTACATTGATGAACTATGGGAAATGGCACTTTCAAAAACCATCGCAGCACTCCGTACCCACTCGGTATGTAACACAAGCCCATGAGAAGTTCTTTCTTGGAGCTGATTATATGCTATTGAGTGTTTTACTGTTTTAAAATCATCAAATATATATTGCTTGGAATCACACTTTGTAGCTATCTCCTTTAACACTTATGGAAGGCGGTCATTTCAAATTTCCATGTTGCTTAACACTCTAGGTGCTCTTTGCATTAAGAAAACAGCAGCTAACATCCATGCTCGTCCTCCTTGTGTCAGGCATTGCTATTTGTACTTCATATGTATTTCATCCTCACAGCAACCTTATAAAGTGGATAGTTTTTATTTTATATTTTTCAACCATTGTATTTTACTTTTTACTGAATAACATTACATTGTAACATTTTATAAGTTTCAGTTGTTCATTTTTTTTTTTAAAGATTTATGTATTTATTTATACAAGCACTGGATACAGTTAGAAGCATGGGAGGGTGAGAGAGAATTCACCAGAGCCAGAGCGGGGAGCAGAACAGGCAGACTGATGAAGTACACTGCTGAGGGGAGCAGCGGCGTGGCAGGAGAGATCTGCGCGCCATGTGGGACCCTCACCAGGGACCGGGATCAAACCAGCGCTACAGAGGCTGCGGGCAGCTTGGCAGCCCAGTGCTCAACTGCTGCCCCACCGGGGAGGCCCTCAGTTGTTCATTGTTGAGAATCAAAGTGTGTACATACTAAATTAAGGTCACTTCCAAAAGTCCACCATCCCAATTTATCCGCCCTACTCCCTCCTTCCCTTCTGGTAGTCACTAATTTGTAGTCCAAAGATTTATTTTAATTTAGTTCATCTGTGTGCTTTCTCTGTGTAATATGTATGAGGGAACTCATATGGTGTTCGTTGTTTTTGGTCTTGTTTATTTCACTAAGCATAATTCCCTCTAGGTCCATCCATGTTTTTTACAAATGGCGGGATTTCATCATTTTAGGGCTACATAGTATTCCACTGAGTACATACACCTTATCTTTTTTATCTATTCATCAATCAGTGGCACTTATGTTGCTTCCAGTTCTTGTCTGTTGAAAACAATGCTACAAAAAACATACAAAAAACATGCATGCATCTCTTTGAACTAGTGGTTTTGTATTTTTTTTTGAGTAAATACCCAGAATTGGAATAACTGGATTTTATGGAAATTCTATTATTAACTTTTTGTGGAATCTCCATACTGTTTCATAATGACCGTGCCAATTTTCGTTCTGACCAATAGTGTATAAGGGTTGCCTTTTCTCTACGGCCTCTTTAAAACTTGTGTCTTGTCTTTTGGATAATAGCCACCCTTTGGGAGGAGATATTTTTCTTCCCAGTATCACCTTTTGGGAGGTGATATTTCATTATTCTAATCTGCATTTCTCTTAATTAAAGTAGGTATTATTAAACAATTCTGTACTCTGGCAACTGTACCTCAGGCATGTTAAGTAACCAGCCTAATGTCATACAGTAAGTAATGGAGCTTGAATTCTAACTCAAATATATCTCCAGACCTTATGTTCTTAATTACTATTCCATATTGTCTTTTTTTTTTTTTTTTGGCCCCTCTGTCCTTGTGCCCACCCGTTCTACTCCTCAAGTAGTAACAGAATTTATTTAGAGACATTAGATGTACATTTCTTCTGATCCTGGGTTGTCAATGGGAGTTGAAATTTTGATACTTCTCTGAGCTTTACAGGTAAATTCCACTCCCAAATTGCTAAACCATGTGAGTTTCTATTAACCTGTAATCCCCTGAGTTTCTATTAACCTGTAAACCCCTGCCAAAGTCAGAGGGGTTGGGACTCAGCCTTTGAGGTAAGTTTTTCTCCCAAAACCACAGAACTTCCTTTGGAATCGGAGGGGTGAAAATGTTGGCAGAGAAGACTGGGAAAATGATAAACTTTTTCATACTAATTCTAAATTCCTTCTATAACAGAAATGGCCATTTTGGTTCACTGCAATAAATTTCATCTGTTCTCCAAATAATTAAGATATACTATACTAGCTATTTTATTTATTTATTTATTTATTTATTTATTTAAAAAATAAATTTTATTTTTATATTCCCCATACAATTGCAACCCCCTTAGTTTGACCCCAATCCCTCCCCTTCCCGCCCCCCCCCCATAGAGGGTCTCTGGTTCATAGTTTTTTGTTGATTTTGATTTTCACTTTCTTATTGTTATTCATTTTCCTGGTCGCTTATTTAAGTTTTCTAGATTCCTGCTATGAGTGAGACCATCCGGTATTTTTCTTTTTGTTTCTGGCTTATTTTGCTGAGCATGATCCCTTCCAGCGCCATCCATGTTGCTGCAAATTGCATGTGTTTATCTTTTTTGAATGCTGAGTAATATTCCATGGTATATATGTACCACATCTTCTTGATCCAGTCATCTATTTTTGGGCATTTGGGTTGTTTCCAAAGCTTAGCTATTGTAAACAGTGCTGCTATAAACATAGGGGTGCAGGTGTTCTTTGGAATTGATGTTTCTGTGTCCTTTGGGTAAATACCTAGGAGTGGAATTACTGGATCATATGGAAGCTCTATGTTTAGTAGGTCCAGAAATCTCCACATAGCTCTCCATAGTGGTTGGACCAGTTTGACTCCCACCAACAGTGCAGGAGAGTTCCTTTTTCTCCACATCGTCGCCAACATTTGTTGTTACTAGTTTTTTTAATATGTGCCATTCTCACTGGTGTAAGATGGTATCTCATGGTAGTTTTAATTTGCATTTCCCTGATTACAAGTGATGTTGAACATTTTTTCATATGCCTTTTGGCCATTTGCATTTCTTCTTCAGAGAAGTTTCTTTTTAGCTCTTCTGACCATTTTTTGACTGGATTATTTTCTTTGTTGTTGTTGAGTCTCATCAGCTCTTTGCAGATTTTTGTGATCAGTCCTTTATCATTAGTGTTGTGTGCAAAAATGTTCTCCCAGTTGGTGGGGTTTCTCTTTGTCTTTGTTACTGTCTCTTTTGCTGTGCAGAAGCTCTTTAATTTGATGTAGTCCAAGCTGTTTATCTTTGCCTTCACTATCACTGCTTTGGGTAATGTGTCTGTAAAGATGTCTTTGATGTGCATATCACGTAGTGTTTTGCCCGTATTTCCTTCTATGTATTTTATGGTTTCAGGTCTTATGTCTAGTTCTTTAATCTATTTTGAGTTGATTTTTGTGTATGGTGTGAGGTAGTGGTCAAGCTTCATTCTTTTGCATGTAGCAACCCAGTTTTCCCAGCACCATTTATTGAGCAAACTTTCTTTGCTCCAATGCATGGTCTTTGCTCCTTTGTCAAAGATTAGTTGACCATAAATCTGTGGGTTTATTTCTGGATTTTCTCTTCGATTCCATTGGTTTGTGTGTCTGTTCTTGTTCCAATACCATGCAGTTTTGATGATTATGGCTTTGTAGTATAGTTTGAAGTCTGGGAGTGTGATGCCTCCATTCCCTTCTTTTTTTTTTTCAGGAGAGCTTTGGCTATTCGTAGTTTTTGGTGATTCCATAGGAATTTCATTAATAATTGTTCTATTTCTTTGAAGAATGACATTGAAATTTTGATTGGAATAGCATTGAATCTGTATATTGCTTTTGGTAGGATGGTCATTTTAATAATATTTATTCTTCCAATCCATGAGCAGGGGATGTCTTTCCATTTCTTTGTGTCTTCTTCTATTTCTTTTAACAGTGTTTTATAGTTTTCTTTGTATAGGTCCTTTACCTCTTTTGTTAGATTTATCCCCAAGTATTGGATTTTTTTTGTTTCGATAATAAAAGGGATGGTTTTTTTGATTTCTTCTTCTTCTTCAGATTTATTGTTTGTGTATAGGAAGGCTACTGAGTTTTGCATGTTGATTTTGTATCCTGCCAAGAAAGTGCATTTTCTTAGTCATCATGGAATCATATTTGACGTCATAAAGAACAAGTTATTTTATAAGTGTGTTGATTAAATTATGTCTACAGAGAACAGTAATCTAATGGGAGTTTTTCTTAGTAAATCTACTGTATGTTCTTTTGAACTGAAGAATAAATGCCAAAATACTTCCTTTTCTCTCAGTAGTTAAGTATCAATTTAGAGGCAGAAAATAGATTAGTGGTTGCTAGAGGTGTAGGTGATAGGAGGAATAGAGGGTGGTAGTTCTAAGGGCATAATACTTCTTTCTGAAGTGAAGAAAATGTTTTAAATTGACTGGTTATATTTTGCACATATCTGCAAGTTATACGAAAACAGGAAAAACCATTGAATTATAAACTTCAGATGGGTGAGTTGTATGGTATTGGTAATGTATCTGAACAAAGCTATTAAAAAGCAACTGAGCATCACACACATTTATTCACCGAACCATTTTATCCTTTATGAAATTGGGTGGTTGATGCCACAATGTCTATTTCATGACACTATTTGTTATACCAGATTACCCAGAAAGCAAACAAAACAACACTCCAAACTTCAAAACAAGTCTCATAAACAAACACTATATCTGAATATTTTTTAATTTTCTTGTCACTACTTAAAATTGCACTTTATTTTTCCTGAATGAACTAATTGAGATAGCATAAATTAGCAATATTTTGAAAGATATTTCACATATTAACGTGAGCAGTATGCTCAATGCCTATTTCAAACATAGTAAAAATCTTATATGACCTCAGAATTCAAATTTGTCAATATATTAACTGAAAAAATTACTAATACAAAAGAAATTTCATAACCAGATGGTTCAGTACTAGAAGATTTGCTAATGTAATTGCTACTATGATTGTTAACTATGATAAATAGATCATCAATAATACTGAAAAATAGTTTTAAGATTTAAAGTTAGGGCATAAAGTAATCCTGGGTGACCAAAATAACTCATGTTTTAAAGGTTTTACCAGGGACTACCAAGTCTTGGATGCTTTCAGGACTTTTCCCAGAACTTGCTAAAGTCTAATGGGATGTAATGTGGTGAATACTGTTTTTAAGACCTGCCTAAGGGCGCAATTGGATCTGCTGGGGCCTGCTACAGTTGGGCTGCTTCCAGTTCCTGTCCTGGACTCCCTGGGGTATGTGCGGGTGTACCACTAGGGGGCCTGCTTCCAGGACCCTCCCCAAGATCTGCTGGGGTCTGTCAGAACCTGCTGTAGAAGGACCATTCTACAGTTCTGCTCTGCTACTTTCAGGGTATGCCACGCCATTGGGGCTAATGGTGCCTGCCCAGGCCATCTGTTTGGCCTATTCCACTTTTTGCTAGGGCTCCCCTCCTTTGAATATTACTCCAATGATTACTCATAATCATTGTTTTTCCTTTGGGAGTTATTGACTTTGTTCTGCTGCAAACTACCTGTATGTGGAGGTGGTGAGCCCAGGGTCTTCACTCTGCCACCATCTTCCCTAGTGTCAGTAAACTTTTTAAATAGTGACATGTACATCTTTGTCCTGCCCACAAAGGCTGACTTCCTTGTCATTTGTGTTTTTAAAACTGTTATTAAAGTGATTATATGTGAACTTTATTTGCAGTTTTTACTATTCTCTGTATTTATATTTATTTTCACTGTTGTATTCCTTGAATATAGTTTTGTTTTCTCTTTGTTTTTTAATCACACTTGCCTAAGCTATGTATATTTTACTGATTTAACTTTTAACCTTAACTTTTAGTTTTAATTGATTAAATCTTTCATGTCTTTTTTATATCACTGATTACTTTTACCAGTTTTGCTCTTAATTATGGTATATTTTAACTTTTTTGGTTTGGCTTCATAATTTATGTGTTTTGATTTTTCCAATTTTTTGTGTTTTCTAATGCTTGTGTGTGAAGATATAATTTTTAAAAAATGACTTTATCCATACTCCATAGGTTTTGATATGAACTATTTCATTACTGTTTATTTTAAATGAACAATAATATCAATTTTGACTTCTCCCTTAACTGAAGAGTTGTTTAGAAGTGAATTTTTAAATTTCCAAGTATTGATAATATAGATCATATTTTTTTAAAGGTCAGAAAATGCAAATGTAATTTATTGCTTTTAACTACATAAACTTTACTGAATTATTGTTCCTTTACAATACTGTATGAGATTTAGAGGTATAGGTTCATAACTCTTCAGATGTGTATTATCAAATCACACTTACCACGAAGTCACCCATAATCCTTCACCAAAGTGCACTGGGTTCCCTTCCCCTTTGCTGATAACCCCCTCAAATATAGATCATATTTTACTGGAATCTCTAGTTAGCTCTTCTATGATTGAATCTGGCATTAAAATAAACCAGATGAATGTTGGATCCTTCCTAGGGAACAATTCACCAGGTAAAATGTTAAACAATTAAGTAAACTGAATTTAGTTTTAGTTTTAATAATTAAGATGTTTTCTTTCTTTGTATTTGATTTCTTTTAGTCTTATTGCTCTGACCCAAACCTTGTGTTAGATCTGAAGAACCTCATCGTTCTTTTTGCTGACACACTTCAGGTTTGTGACTTGTATTTGCATATATTTTATCTAGTTTAGTATTTTATCTGCTCAAAATCTTTCCACTGTCTATCTCAGGTTTAGTAAGGTATCTTTTCTTTGTTTTTCTTCTTTTTCTAGAGCTAGATCTATGTATTTCTTTATGGCATTTCTAGTCATCACCCTAACCATATGTATTCACGTAAATAGTTACCACCTTAAAAAAAAAAAAAAAAAACAATTACCACCCTTTTTTCCACAAGTGTAGATCAGCTAATAAAACCACCCACTAACTTAGTTTTTCAAAGTATCCTAATTCAGATGTTGTACTTGAGAAATTTTAGAGTCTTAAGTGCCATACTAAATAATGATTATTGACTTGAACAATATATTGAAACAAATAAAATAACATTAGAAGTAGGTAAGAGTAGCAGCATTTTTAGTTTCTCATCCTACTCCTAAAGGTTGCTAAAAATTACCAGGAGTTGTAGTAGGGACAACTAAACTGACAGTGTACCCTATATATATATATATATATATATATATATATATATATATATATATATTTTATTGTTAATTAAGCTTTTTTCTGATTATCTTCTATAATTTGCTATGGATCTTTTAATTCTCAAGAGATGAGCACTAGATTTTTGGTGGAATGAAAGATTCTTCCATATGGTTTCATTTGAATTGTTGGCCGAAGAACAAGAATACCTTTCAGTGCCTAATTATCTCTAATGTTAGTAAATTATTCACCTTAGAAAATGAAGCTTTTAATTTTATTTCAGGTGTATGGTTTTCCTGTAAATCAACTTTTTGACATGCTGTTAGAAATCAGAGATCAGTATAGTGAAACTCTGCTAAAGAAGTGGGCAGGTATTTTCAGGTGAGAAATTATCTATAGTTATGTGTGTATGCAGTGCATGTACACGTGTGTATACACAAGTATTTTTATGCATAAAGTTTTTCATTTGTAATAAACATCGAGTTCATATGACTTCTATTTTCTAGCTATGCTGCAGATTATGATTCAAAATTTGAGTAATTATAGTGATGACCAAAATAAAGTTCTCAAAACATCCAATTTCAAAGTGTTAGTGTCTGCTATGTGGGGCATCACCTTGTCCCATTTGGGCTTCTTTGTTTCCTTGAGTAAATGTCAAGTACCTTGGTTCATAATCTCCAGATTTTCTTGTGTATTTTATTCTACTTTTTCATTTCCTCTTTGAGGATCATTACTAGTCTATGCCTCACTATAAGGCAGTGACTTTTAAAGACTTTCAAATAATTTAGATTCTTCAGGAACCTTTTTGAAGACTTATGTAATTCCTTATTTTTATTCTCCACACACAGAGAAAATAACCTATTACAATGCAATGTGTTTGAAACATATTATTTAAATAGTTATTGCAACATACATACTACAATAAGAAAGTTATTCTGTTATACCTTCTACCCACAAACATTATACCTTCTTGGAATCTTTTCCTGTTATACACCCCATATGAACTCACTTGAATTTTTTCTCTTTATTAATCTTTACTCCTTTACTTAAAGTGGCCTTTCTGCCTCCTGCATGATTCCATTCCCAGCTCAGCCTATCCTGTTTTCAAGTTCTTTTCAAGTTATAGCTTTAAATTGTACATTATTCCTTTAATCTTACTCTGCTCAGTATGTGAAAATATCTGATAATTACTAGTCCAACTCATTTGTATATATTATTATAAACAATTGTTTTTCTAAAAATCAGGTTTACCTGATACTATTATGTTTAGGGGAAGAGTATCTCTATAGGAACCTTTGAAATTAATAACATGATATATCCTTGATCATAAGAATAATTTCAGTAAATTTCTGTTTTGATTTTGGTAGCACGACCTCTACTTTTAGAGACTCCCCCAGTCTAATTAAGGAGTCAGAATCTATGGATGAAAAAAAGTCATACTAACACAGAGCATTTGGTGGAGTAAATGAACATGTTTTGTATTTATATAGAAGCTACTTTTCCTTATCTGCCAATTCTGAAAATTAGAATAGAAGAGCTAGTGTAGGATTAAACAACATCAACAGATATATCTTATATAAAAACTCAAAGTAAATTAAATCTCTTTGCCTTTTCTAGAGCACACATTATTTTTTTGTCACTTGCCTTAAAGCTTCAACATGTTGCCTTAAAATGTTCTTTCTCATATATTAAATACTATGAACTTATTTTTGTAATTGTGTTCCACTTGTTTTAGAGTTTTTTTCTTTTAAATATATTCTTCTTGGATCAAGTGACTATGTCATAGAAGAAATAGACTAGAGATTGAGAAACATTATATATATAAATATATATAGCACATACACATGCATTATATATATAAATATAATATATATAGGACATTCACAATCACTGGAGTTCACCTGTAAATTTGTTGAGATAACACAATGATTAATTCACCTTCCTTTGCTTCCTCTTTCCTTTCCTCCCTTCTTCCCTCTTTTCCTTTCTTCCTCTCCTTCCCTCCTCCCCCCCCTTTTTTTTTTAATAGAAACATACTTGATTCTGACAACTATAGCCCTATACCGGTAACAAGTGAAGAGATGTATAAAAAGGTGGTAGGACAATTCCCATTTCAAGATATAGAGCTGGAAAAGGTAAGGAATACTTTAAACTTCTCTGATTGATTTGACATCCTCTAGAAGTTTTCATTGTGTCTGTATCATTTAAAGGCATTTCTTCCAACTTCAGAGGTTGCAACTGTAGAATATCTTCAGATAACACTTTTTGGATTTAGAAGAATAGTAATTCTTGTTTTGGGGATCAGCAGATGACTTTGGGGTCCTAATGCTCTGAAAAGTTTAGGGGATAGATGGGAGTGTTCCAATTTGGTTTATGCTTCAAAATACTTGATTTTATTATACCTTTAGAACATTTTCTCCCCTAAATATAGAGTAAAATTTACCCTGTGTGCTGTGTTACACTCTTGGTTTTGACAGTGCATTGAGTCATATATATACAGCCACAATATGATGTAGAAAAGTTCTATCATGCCCCCAAATCCCCTCAATCCTGCTACTTTTAAACCCCTGCCCTTTAGAAGCCACCAATCTGGTCATTATCTATTTTTGCCTCTTCCAGAGTGAGATAAATGGAATCATACATTATGTAACCTTTTGAGACTGGACTCTTTCACTGAACTGTTTAATATACTTGCTATTCATTTAAGTTGTTGCATGTATCAATAGTTCATTCCTTTTATTGGAGAAAAGCACTATAATTTACGTATGCATTCATGTGCTAAAGGGCATACATATTATTGTTTATTTAAATCTATATCTTATTCTTTTGTATCAGGAAACTTTAAGAGATAATTTCTTAAACAGACAATTTTGGGTTCTTAAACAGACAATTCATATATAGAAGAAAATTTATTTTATATCTTAGTTTGTAAATATCTTCATGATATGTTGATTTGTGACATGTTTTCATATTAATTCTTGCGTTTACAGCAACCTTTTCCAAAAAAGTTTCCTTTCTCTGAATTTGTGCCAAAAGTTTACAACCAAATTAAAGAATTTATCTACGCTTGTCTGAAGTTTTCAGAAGATCTTCATCTCAGGTATAGTATGAAATAGTGAAAATGTAAAAAAAATAATGAATAGTGACTCTCTCAATATAAATATTCTGAAAAACATTTAGCTTGGATTTTTGAAGTCTTTCATTTTCTGTTTTGTTCAAGAAAGTATCCCCTAGTTCAACCAGTTTAGGAAAAAACAAAGAATAAATGAATAACTGAACAAATGAGAGGTAGAGTGTATCAGGCAACTCTGAAGATAAAAATAATTGTATGATAGTTTGTGTGACTTGTTTAATAGCCATTCTTAATAAATAAAAAATGAAACATGAGGCTTGTGCAACCACTTTGTTCTTTTCTCTAAAAATGAGATTGATTTTATACAAATATTCTCTTGGAAATGATATTAACATTGGAAGTTATAAACTAAAACTTCCTCCCAGACACAGGGGCTACACTCTCTCCCTACTACCACCAAATGACCGTTACAATGGTTTCCAGGGTATTGTGAAGGATGTTACTGTACTTAAATTATTGCAAGCTCATTGCATAATGGCTTTTTCTATCCTCTTTTGAAGGAAAGGTAATATGGTGAACGTGTAATGTGAGTCAAATCTTGTGAAATCCTTTTCTGGCTTGAATATATTAACTTTTTTTTTGCCTGAAAACTCTTTTTGATACGTCTAACCCTGACAATTTACCAATAAATATTCAGTTTGGGGGGATTTTATTGCTGCCTTTCCTCTTTGGTTACCATTAATTTTATTTCCTGGACTAAGTTTTAAATTTACCTTTTAACCTAGACAGAGATCATGTTGACAACTATAGCTATTATGGGGAGGAGGTATGATATGGGATGTGAGACAAAATATTTATAAAAACAATCATTTCTCTTTAAACACAAGGCCCTCAAAGCAAGAACAACTGCTATATAGAGATTTTTATGAAACTTCAGGGATAATTAGTCTCTTAAATCAAACATTCATTTTTTGCCTTCGCAAATTTTCTCTTATATTGAATAGCAGATGTGGGAAAGCATTATAAATATTGAAAAAATATGTAACTGCATAAATTCTGATGATATAAAACTCCTATTTAAAGAAACTTCTTTTTTCTAATTATTTTTTCATTTTTTGTTTTTTAATTTTGTATATTTTTTATACCATTTTTCATTTTTGTACAATGTATGCATTTTCATTTTGGTTATAGTCCCCATACAATTCCCACCACCCTTGTTTTGATCCTACTCCCTTCTCCCCCCGCCCCCTAGTGTGTCTCTGGCTTATAGTTGCTTGTTGATTTTGATTGTTACTTTAGTATAATTAGTCTTTTCCCTGGTCCCTTATTTAGGTTTTCTAAATTCCTGCTATGAGTGAGACCATCTGGTATTTTTTTTAAAAGATTTATTTATTTATTTATAAAAGCACTGGGTACAGTCAGAAGCACGGGAGGGTGAGAGAATTTACCAGAGCCAGAGCAGGGAACAGAACAGGCAGACTGACGAAATACACTGCTGAGGGGAGCAGCGGGCGCGGCAGGAGAGGTCTGTGTGCCATGTGGGACCCTCACCGGCGGCTTGGGATCGAACTGGCTTTGCAGAGGCTGCGGGCAGCTTTGCAGCTCAGCACTCAAACGCTGCACCACCAGGGGAGGCCCTATTTTTCTTTTTCTTTCTGGCTTATTTTGCCGAGCATGATCCCTTCCAGCTCCATCCATGTTGCTGCAAATTGCATGAGTTTATCTTTTTGGATTGCTGTGTAATATTCTATTGTATATATGTACCACATCTTCTTGATCCAGTCACCTATTTTTGGGCATTTGGCTTGTTTCCATAGCTTACCTATTGTAAATAGTGCTGCTATAAACATAGGGTTGTAGGTGCTCTTTTGAATTAATGTTTCTGTGTCCTTTGGGTAAATACCTAGGAGTAGAATTGCTGGATCATATGGAAGCTCCATCTTTAGCAGATTGAGGAACCTCCACACAGCTCTCCATAGTGGTTGGACCATTTTACACTCCTACCAGCAGTGCGGAGAGTTCCTTTTTCTCCACATCGTCGCCAACATTTGTTGTTGCTAGTTTTTTTAATATGTGCCATTCTCACTGGTGTAAGGTGGTATCTCATTGTAGTTTTGATTTGTATTTTCCTGATTTTTTGACTGGGTTATTTACTTTGTTTTTGTTGAGTCTAGTCAGCTCTTTGTAGATTTTTGTCATCAGTCCTTTATTGTTAATATTGTGTGCAAAAATTTTCTCCCAGTCAGTGGGGTGTCTCTTTGGTTTGGTTACTGTCTCTTTTGCTTTACAGAAGCTCTTTAATTTGATGTCGTCCCATCTGTTTATCTTTTCCTTCACTATCACTGCTTTGGGTGATGTGTCTTTAAAGATGTTACTGAGGTGTATGTCATGTTGTGTTTTACCTGTATTTCCTTCTACATATTTTATGGCTTCAGGTCTTATGTCTAGTTCTTTAATCCATTTTGAGTTGGTTTTTGCGCATGGTGTGAGGTAGCAATCAAGCTTCATTCTTTTGCATATTGCGACCCAATTTTCCCAGCATCATTTATTGAAGAAACTTTCTTTGCTCCATTGCATATTCTTTGCTCCTTTGTCAAAGATTAGTTGACCATACATCTGTGGGTTTACTTCTGGATTTTCTATTCGGTTCCTTTGGTCTGTGTGTCTATTCTTGTTCCAATGCCATGCAATTTTGATTGTTATTGGTTTATAGTATAGTTTGAAGTCTGGGAGTGTGATACATCCATTCCCTTCTTTTTTTTTAAGGATAGCCTTGGCTATTCGGGGTTTTTGGTGATTCCATATTCATCAATATTTCTTCTATTTTAAAGAAAATTCTTTTTAAAAACAACAAATAAATGGGACTGCTATGGTAAAATAATGTTCTAACATTATTTATAAAATATATAAAATAATAACATACATAAAATAATAACATATAAAATAATGTTCTAACATGTTTTGCTTGACTTCAAAAAAATAGAATACACACACAGATCTTTTTTTTTAATATTTATTTATTTATTTATACAAGCACTGGGTGCAGTCAGAAGTGTGGGAGGGTGAGAGAACTCACCAGAGCCAGAGCGGGGAACAGACCAGGTAGGCTGAGGAAACACACTGTTGAGGGGAGCAGTGGGCGTGGCAGGAGAAGTCTGTCACACCATGTGGGACCCCTGCCAGCAGCCGGGGATCGAACCAGTGCCACAGAGGCTGTGGGCAATCTCACAGCCCAGTGCTCAACCGCTGCGCCACCATGGGAGGCCCCAGATCTTTTTATAAGTTATAAAATTAATAGTCTGTAAAGAATTTGGAAACTAAATAGCACAAAGAAGAAAAATTTGAAAGACCCAAAACTCTACCATGTAGTAAAATAACCATTCTCTCTATATGGGAATTTTTTAAAAATTAAGGTAACACTGGTTTACAACACTGTATATGATTTAAGGGAATAATTTCACACTTCCTCAGGTGTGTGTCACCACACCACACCAACCTCCAAACCAGAGCACCCATAGTCCTTTACCCTAAGCCATTAGATTCTCTCCCCATTTTTTCCCTCTAATAGCTGCAACTCTGTAGGCATCTTTCTGGGGTTTGTTTTGGTTTAGTTTTGCCAGTTCGTTTGTTTTGTTTCTCTACATTCTACATATGAATAAATTCATCTGTTTTTTTTTGTCTTTCTCCTTCAGAATTATTTTACTTAGCATAATTCCCTTCAATTACCTCCATGTTGTTACAAATTGCAAGAGTACATCTTTTTTTTTTTTTTATGACTGAGTTGTATTCTATCATGTATATATGCCACATCTTCTTAATCCACTGCTCTGTGCCTGAACACTTAGGTTATTTCTATAATTTGACTATTGTAAATAGTGCTGCAGTTAACATATAAGTGCATCTATGCCTTTGAATTGGTGATTTTGTGTTCTTTGACTAGATACCTAGAAGTTGAATTGCTGGATCATGTGGTGGATCTATTTTTAATATTTTGAGGAACTGCTATACTGTTGTCCATAGGGTGCTTACCAGTCTGCATTCCCAGCAGCAGTGCATGATGGTTTGTGGGAATTTCTTTCCAGTCTATCCTCCATGTGAATATATGCACAGCACTTCTTTAAAAGTTTTGAGAATGTTATAATGATCATTTTATGGTTTTGTTAATACTTTGACCCAAATTCACCAGGTTTTGACATTTTGCCATATTTGCTTTATTGTATTCTCCCTCCCTCATTTACCTTTCTCCTCCACTTCCTCACTCTGTGTGTGTGTGTGTGTGTGTGTGTGTGTATGTGTGTGTTATTAGAAGTACTTATGTTGAATTTGATTAAGACATGTTGAATTTGATTAATTAGCTAGGATACTGTCTGTTCTCTCTGTTGTATAGTTATCATCATTTTTCCTTTTGTAATAAGTAACGTTTGTGTTTGTTTGGAACTACTTTGAGACTAAGTATTTTTTCTGTTGTCAGATGTCATCTACCTCCCTCACCCATATAGTATCATTTAATGATTCTTGCCTGAGTCATTTTTTTCTCTGATAATTATTTATGATTTTAAACATCATCAAAATCTTGTATTTTGTTATTTGGCATTCTATTTTAAGGAGTCCTTCCCTTCTGCTTGCTTGCTATTTATTTATCTATCACCTCCCTGTCATCATAGATTGTTCATTAAAATGGTTCAGTTCTCTACTATCTATGTATTTATTCATTTTTATGCTCAAATTGTCCCAGATGTAACTAGTGTGAACAGCTTCCAACTGCCACCTGTGGTTTTTTGGCACCCTGCAATTTGGCGGGACATTTCTTTATTTTCTGGGAAAAGATGTTTCAGGCTCATCTTGTATGTTTATTGGCCTAACCCTGATATTATTAACCTTTCCACGGATCCTAGTTCCTTTTAGTGTGAGTGGTGTCTTTTAAATAAGATCTGGGCATGTTTTCTTATTTTTAAAATGTGTCTTTTTGAATTGAGAAATAGTGAGGTTTTGTTTTATTTTAATGAATTCTGCTAATTGAAGTATTTATTTCAGTTACATTAATGTACTTAGTGATATGGTTGGATTTAAGCATGCTCTTTGTTATTGTTTTTCTATTTATCCCATTCATCTTTTCTGCCCATTTTTCCCAGTTTCCTTCCTTCCTTTTTGATTAAATTTTTTAAAGTATGCTTTATTTTACCTATTAGCTCGATTAACTTTATTTGTGTGACTGCTCTGTGTATCCTTAATTTACCACAGTTTGCCTTGAATAATAGTGTATCACTTTATATATAATTTAGTAATCTTACAACAATATAATGTAATTTATATTCTCACCCCCTTTGTGTTGTTGGTGTATATTTTACTTATATGCCTGCTTAAACCCTAAAATGTATTACTGTTTCTGCTTAGAATATTTACAATTATTTTAAAATTCAAGAAATGAGTGGTTCTCTAGATTGGTCCACTTCATTTTTAGGCCTTCTCATTCTTCCTACAGATCTAGGTTGTTACACTTTAATATCATTTTTCTTCAGTGTAGAATTTGTTTTAGTATTTGTTTTTATGTATTTTTTGCTGGTGTTAGATTTTTCTAGTTTTAATTTATCTAAAATTTTTTTTGCTTTTGTTTTCAAAAATATTTTTCTTCAGATACAGAATTTTAGGTTAATAATCTTCCCTTTCCCCACACTTTTTTTCCCCCAAAGATTTATTTATTTATACAAGAACCAGGGTATAGACCAGATGCGCGGGAGGGTGAGAGGATTCATCAGAGACAGAGCGGGGAACAGAACGTGCAGCCTGACTGAAATACACTGTTAAGGGGAGCAGCGGGAGAGACAGGAGAGATCTGCTGCGCCATGTGGGATTCTAGCAGGCCGGCTGAGATCGAACCGGCGCTGCAGAGACTGCGGACAGTTTCACAGTGTTGTTCTCAACTGCCTGCACCACCAGGGAGGCCCCATTTCCCCACACTTTAAAGATATCATTCCATTCTTTGTATCTATGGTTTCTGAAGAGAATTAAGTCTTCTTAACTGTTGTTCTTTAGTGTACTGTCTTTTTGTTTCTTTGAAGATTTGAGGATTTTTCTCTTTGTCTTTGTACTTTACAATTTGACTATTATGTGTCGATGTGTTTTTTAAACTGTATTAATTCTCTTTGAGGGGTGTTGAACTTTTTTTTTTTTTTTTTTTTTCTGGGACCCTCGCCGGTGGCCGGGGATTGAACTGCAGGCTGGCTGCGGGCAGCCTCGCAACCTAGCACTCAACCGCTGTGCCACCAGGGGAGGTCCAGGTGTTGAACATTTTGAATCTGTAGGTTGAAATATAGTATCAAGTTTGGAGATAATTTTGTCAGCATGTGCTTAAATATGTTTCCTTTATCATTTTTTTCTTTTTCTTGGGTGATGCCAACCTGTTTGATAAGATAATTCAGGTTTCATCACTGCTTGATGAGCTGAATGTGAATCTAGTTTTTAATTAGTTTTAAGGTACTTCTGATTTCAGTGGCAATTGCAGAAGTCTCTTTGTCCGCAAGATCAAGTTTGAAATTCCAAAGCTTCTATCCAGGGGCTTACTTCTGATCTTAACAGGATTTGAGCTGGGCTGGGTTTCAGATTTAGTTGGTTTTTGCTCTCCTAGGATTGAATTTCAGTAGCGACCTGGAACCTAATCCCCTTGCAAAATTTTCAAGATCTTTCTGATACTTTGCACTTCCCCCACCATTTCTTATAGAACATAATTCCTGTAGGAGTTGATTCTTTTTTTTTTTTTTTTTTTTTTTGTGGGACCCTCGCCAGTGGCTGCCGGGGAATGAACCGGCACTGCAGAGGCTGCGGGCAGCCCCGCAACCCAGTGCTCAACCACTGCGCCACGAAGGGAGGCCCCAGGAGTTGATTCTTAGTTTAGGTTGGCTAAGTGTATTTATTTTTGTTTGTGGGCTCTTCCAGATTCCAGCCTATAAGAATAGCCCACACTTAAAGGTTTGACTGATTTCTCTGCATCCCTGCTAAGGCATTTTATTCCTTCATCCACCTGTACCCAGATTAGGCAGTTGGCCCTATTTATGAAAGTGCGTGCTGCTTTTTGCTCACTTTCAAGAGTTTATCCCAGTGTGCAGTTTAATTCCGTTATTATTATTATTTTTTTTTGGTGCTCATTACACTTCACTGATATTGAAAGAAAATACAGCTTTTAGCCTGGATCTAGTTTTCTTATTTTGAAGGTAGTGACCATGTTTCTCGATATCATATTCAAAATTGGAACTTCTCCTAGATCATTTTAAAGCATGATAGAGAGATTTAATAAGTACAAGATACTATGAGAGTGATGAATAACAGGGGCACCAGATTAACCAATGATGTTAATCACTTTCCTAGCAACCTGTACTTATCATAGCTCATATTGCAATTGATATGATATAATTATGAGTTTAACCTATGAGGGCAGGAACCATTGCAATGTTGATCACAATTGTGAACTCTCTATTTACCAACACAATGCCCAGCTCATTATATTTTTGTTAAGTGAAGTTTTCAATTTAATAAGTATTTGAAAAAGGTGGTAATGGGCTAAATATATTAGTAATTAAATCTATCTTTGCATGGACTCTGTAAAATTATTTTAATGTCTTTCTTTTCCTTAGCCGATTATGGCCTGGCATTCTGTAGCCTTATTTATTTCTAATATTTTTCTCTTTTCCACTTAGCATGATGTATGTGTGTGTGTGTGCGTGTGTATATATAATCTATATTTAAAATTTTAAGAGTTTTAATTCAACCATATTAAGCCTCAGATTTTATTCTGAAGAAGAGAAATCAATGAGATAAAATTTGTGACCAGTGTCCACAAGTGATAAATAATTAACAAGGAACTACTCATTAATCATTATTTATAATTACTTCTTGATATTTATAAATAAATGTCAGTAAAATGATAACCTTATCAGTAAAAAAATGTTTGTCCCAAAAGGGACATATCCAAAAGGCTATATTTTATATAGGTCACCTTGGGTTATATTCAGGATCTTATAAAGAATCTGTTAAGTCCTGGATTTAGTCTGCTGGTTACAAGACTGTTTTGTTTTTTTTTTAAACTTTGCATTTAAAGTTACCTATTATATACTTTTCTTTATGTTTAGTTTCCTTGGGTGAAAAGAAAATGTCTTTATTGATCACTTTTTGTATAATAGGGATTATAAAATATTTATGCAGAATTAAACTCCTGGCTTGAACCATTTATTTGGGAATGAAAACTAAAGAGATGTTATATGAAAGATGCCAGTATCAGAGTGTGTGCCAATACACACACGTTTATATATATATCTTTATCAGCTAATTGTATAGAAAGTCTACAGAAAGACCAGGTTGGAAAGTTACAAATGTTAATAATCCATGAAAGAACTTCTAAGTGTGGGAGAAATTTTGGTTTCAGGATGAGGAGTCATGCTGGGGAACTCTTTACTGAGAGCGAGTACATCATACTATGTAGGCTTTGAGTTTTAGACTCCTGTGTTAAAATCTTTTTTTTGCCATGTACTCACTATGTGACCTTGTATAAGTTACTTAACTTTTCTGTGTTTTCATTTCTTCATTGGTAAGGCAGGGATAATAAAAGTTCCTACTTCATTTGATTATTGTGAAGGGTAAATGAATTTTAATATATTAAAATAGAATAATTTCTGGTCATAATAAATGTTATTTGCTATTATTATAATCACCACTACTACTATTATTATTATGACAAATAACACTTGTACCTTGTTTGTAAAATAATTCTGCTACCTGGTGTGACATACTCTTAACAATTCTTTTACAGCTCAACTGAAATTGATGACATGATTCGTAAATCTACAAACCTGTTGCTAACCAGGACTCTGAGCAACTCTCTGCAGAATGTCATTAAAAGGAAGAATATTGGCCTTACTGAGGTAAATCTTCTCTTAACGGAGACAGCCAAGGCAATATTTGAACAAATGTCTTAAGCTCTTTGCCTTATTTATGAATCACTTATGACTTCTCTGTGGTCCATCATGTTATTCCTTATGGGCTCCTGATGGTTAAAGTGCAAAATGAAATTCCCTGTTTCTCCTTTGTTCAGTTTTGAGAAATCCATTATTTTTTTTAAATTTATTTATTTATTTTTATAGAGGCATGTTTTATTTATTTAATTGTTTGTTTGTTTGTTTGTTTTGTTTATACATGCACTGGGTACAGTCAGAAGCGCGGGAGGGTGAGAGAATTCACCAGAGCCAGAGCAGGGAGCAGAGCAGGCAGAAGGACCGAAGTACACTGCTGAGGGGAGCAGCGGGCGGCAGGAGAGGTCTGCGCGCCATGTGGGACCCTCCTCCGGTGGCCGGGGAGCAGCCGGGGATCGAACTGGCGCCGCAGAGGCCGCAGGCAGCTTCGCAACCCAGCGCTCAACCGCTGCGCCACCGGGAAGGCCCTCCATTATTTTTTTATGTTGTCTTTTTCTCATATTCACTACCTTAGCTGACTTTCCTCTCTGAAGTTGTTGGGATAAATTTCTACTACCTGCCATAGACCTAAAAAATTATTTTGGTTGGAGAATATATTCAACATCAGGTATCATACCCAAATGAATGGCAGTTCAAATATAGCATATGATATGAACTTACAACTTGCCTGCATAAATTACTGATGCCAGGGGTATTGGCATTCATACTCCATAGTTAGTGTTAGACTCAGCTTTTATTTTTGAGATACTTCATGTACGTGAATGGCAAATTATTCTTTATTGTTTAAGTCTAGGGATTTGGTATTGAGGAAACATGAGAGAAAGGCAATCGTCATGTTTCTGAGGAAGCTTGTGAAATCTCACAAGGGGAAGAAGAACATTTTACATATGTTGGAAACTCTATTTTGGCAAACTGAAGATTTGACTCCTTGGCATGTAGTCCTAAAATGTAGAAATATGTGAAGTTTCTTTTCTCTTATAAACCCAGGATTGCTTGGGAGTCAGAGCCTGCCATTTTCTGGAAATTATAGTGCCAAATATAAGAGCTCTGAGAAATTTTGTTTCACAGGGAAAGGGAAAGGCCATCTGTTTTTACCTGTAGAAGTGATCTACTTTGAAAATCAGTTGCTCTCAAAATAAAAAAAATGACATTTTCAGATATACACTGTCAAGGATTATGGTGAAATTTAGCAAATGGTTAATGACACTGACTCATAGTCAAAGACAGCTGGAAGCCAAGTGAACATCTACTTCAGATTTTGGATTGATTTTCTCATTCCTTGAGTTAAGATTTTACCTAGATTTTCTTTTTTTTAATTGAGGTAACAATGTAGAGAAACCAAACTGAGGAGCAGATAAAGAGAAGCTTGAATACTAACCCTTGAAAGCTGACTGTAGAACTGAAGCATCCAGAGGTGGGAGGGATGGGGAAAGGGTGAGAACAAAGAAGGTAGTACAATGGACCATAGTGGTGCACTATGGGTAATTTGAAGGTAGGTACACTGGGGTGGCAATATCTGAGCAGGGTTCCTAAAAATACAACTTCCAAAATACAAATAGTAATGTAAGTGTTGAGACTTTAAATTGTCATATTATAAGATGGGGCATTGGCAGTGATTGAGTTCTAGAACAAACCTTTTTTACAATTGAAAATCTTGTTTGACATTATTTAGGGCAGTACCTAATTTTGCAGAGCTTTCATTCTGTTACCTGGCACATAAATATTAGGTATTGCTGTTATATGCCTGAGAATAGGCTAATTTCTTTTCACAAGCAGTAAAGCTATAGCAAGGCGAGTTTGAGTGAAAATTAGAAAGTCCTCCTGCTTTTGCTGGAGTATACTGTTTTTATTTTGATTCCTAAGTAGGAGAGGAAGTTTGTCATTTGTTTGTGAGGTATCTCTACATTATAACTCTTAATATATGTCATTCAATTTAGTAGTCTTCATATAAAGTCATTTTACACAAGTAGCATAGCAAGACATGTTGTAATAGAAGCAGATTGGGCCATAGAAGACTCTTGAATTTAATTGTGGCTGTGCCATTGATTTACTTTGACATCATAACATCTGATACCTCAATTCTTGGGTTTTGTTAACTCCATTGTCCTTGTCAAGGGTACTCAACAGATCAGGTATGGATAGGAAGAACTATTTCATAATTCTTGGCACTATTTCAATGAGTGCTAAATGTTATTCCTGTCACTGCATATTTTTAGGCAAATGTAGTTTGTTATTAATACTTTTGCATATGAATGAAGGAATATCCACACACCTATTATTATGGTTATTATGATGGTGTTTATATGTATAGATGATATAGACATGATTTTTTTTTAATCAACAAACAATAAATCTTTGTCTTTTACTCTCCTTTGGAAAGAGAAGACCTATCTCCATTTCAGGTAACTAAAGTAAGTTCACATCTGGAATCATTATCATAATAGGCAACATTTGTGGAACAGTAATAGTCTTCAAAGTCCAGTCACAAATACCATACTATTTAGTACAACACCTTTTGAAACAAGTTCAGAATGTGTTATTATTCCTACTTTATGGAAGCATAATTAAAATTCAGGCAGAATGATATGCTCATACAACCATCAAAATGATAGCAATGAGACCTAAGTCCAGGCTGTTCCTTTCAAAATGTGTTCACTTTTATTATAATGTGCTACCTTCCATATTTATTTAATTATCATGTCATAACAAAAATAAAGTTTTTTATAGGAGGTCCATAGTAATTTCGAAATTGTTCTAGTCAGAGATGGTTTTATGGCAAGGAGCATGTATTCACTCAAACAATAGTATTAGAAGCACACAAAGTGCACAGAATCCTGTTTGAGGATTTTATTTTTTTTTAAAGATTTATTTTATTTGTTTTTACACAAGAACCAGGGTACAGGCCAGATATGTGGGAGGGTGAGAGGATTCACCTGAGACAAAGTGGGGAACAGAACAGGCAGATCTACTGAAATACACTGCTGAGGGGAGCAGCCGGCAAGACAGGAGAGGTCTACTGCACCATGTGTGTATCTCCATGGCCGGCGGGGATTGAAACAGTACTGCAGAGGCTGCGGACAGCCTCACAGCTCTCCGTTCAACTCCCTGCACCACCAGGGAGGCCCTGTTTGAGGATTTAATTTTATTTATTTTATTTTTTTAAAGATTTATTTATTTATGCACACAAGAACTGAGGTACAGTCCAGAGATGCAGGCGGTGAGAGGATTCACCAGAGACAGAGTGGCGAACAGAACAGGCAGACTGACTGAAATACACTGCTGAGGGGAGCAGTAGGCGAGGCAGGAGATACCTGCCTTGCCATGTGGAGATTGAACTCATGCTGCAGAGGCTGTGGATTGATTCATAGTGCAGTGCTTAACTCCCTGCGCCACCAGGGAAGCCCCTGTTTAAGGATTTTAAACCATTCTTTTGGGACTGAAGTTCCTGTATGCTAATGTGTTTCTGTCTGCCTATCTTTGTTTGAGGTTGCATGGTATCTCATCACTTTTATTTTCTGTCCATGTGTTCTATTTTTTTGTCTCTTTATATATACTGACATTCTTGCTTTTCTTATACTTTCTTTGCGCATGTTGAGCTAGTTCAATACCATACCTTTCAGTTCTAGTAACTGCTATAACTTTAATGCCTTGGTATCTCAGACTTTAAGTACTTAGCCTAGTTCAATCATCAGTGAAATTTTATTCCTATGGCTGCTTCTTCAGAGTCTGTGGGATAAAGGGCAATTGAACAGTGATCAAGAGTATGTTCTAGAGCAGACTGTCTGTGTTCCAGTTTCGGCTCTCACCTTAATAAGTGTCTTTGGACAAATTAATTGACTTTCTGTATAAAATGGGAACCATAATTTCATATATTTCATGGGATTGTTGTGAGGATTAAATGGACATGTAAATTACTTAGAGCAGTGCTTGGTACATATAAAACACTCAATGCATATTACCAGTTAGTAAGAAAAAGTTCTGGGCATGTAAACAAATATTGTAGGGTCTAGTACAGAGATGGGGATTTTCAGTTAAGAAAAGTTAGAACCACAAACAAAAGAGATCCTGCTTACATTTTAGTATAGAAAATTGATAATAAATAATAGAAAAATTAATAAATTAATCATCTTAAATGATAAAAGGTGGTGAATGTTATGGAGAGTAGAAAATTAACCTGGATTAAAGAAATCAGGAGTTTGATGGAGATTCAAGGTTGGTCTTATTAAAGAGCAACATCTTGATATGGTGAGTTATTATTGAAGAGGGAGTATTCTTGGTAGAGGTTAGAACTAGAGCAAAGGTATGAAAGTAAAGAAATTGACAAGTCTAGGGAATAATAAGGAAGCAAGGATAGCTGGAATGGAGTGAGCAAGGGGAAGAAAAACAGGCAATTAGTTCAGAGAGGTGCTAGGGGTTTGTGGCAAGCCATTGAAAAATGTTTGGCTTTCATTTTTATCAAATGTTGAGCCAATGCAGAATTTTTATTAGGAACCCAATAAGACATATTTCAAAAGGATCACATTGAATGTGACATTGAGAATAAACAATAAGATACACCAGGGAGATCACTTACGAGGCTATGTGATTTAATGGAAGGTTGAATAATCACTTATTCACCATGATTTAATGGAAGGTTGAGTGGTAGCCATGTAAGTGGTGATGAGTGATAAGATTTGGAGTGTAGAGCTAGCATGCTTTCCTAATGATTGGTTGTAAGGAAATGAGAAGGTTAAATGTTGAAGATAACTCAAAGATACTTTGATTTGAACAACTAGAAAATTGTTTATTTCCCATGAACTATGATGGGTAGTATTAGCTTCGGTTTTGGGGAAGATTGGGAATTTGGTTCTGGACTTAATATTTTTTTTTTTAAGATTTTTTAATTTATTTTTACAAGCACTAGGTACAGTCAGAAGCACTGGAGGGTGAGAGAATTCACCAGAGCCAGAGCA